AATTTGCACACTTAATCCATTACGAGACATGAAATGACTATAATGCCTTTTTAAAATTTTCTTTTCCATTATTTTTAATAGTTTTGATTGTTTTTAATTATTAAAAAATATTTTAATTAAAATTGTAGGTCTACCTAATATATGTATATCTGAAGAGTTAACCACCAACATCACCATCGGAAATAAGCACAACCACCACCAGAAACCTTTTTGACCGCCACCGGTGACCACTACCTTATTTCCCTTTCTCTATTCACAAAACCTAGATACATGCATTATCAAAACAATCTCCAAAATCCTAAATCTTTCTATAAACCCATAAATTACATCAAATAAATCTAAAAAATTCTAAATATTTTTGTAAACCCATAGAAATTCTAGATTCAAGGTAGGTATAAAACAATTAAAAATAGCTGGATTTTAAACTAATTTTGTCATCATCATGACTTGAAGTGTGTTGTAGAAGATGATGAACATTATGTCAGGTTTACTTAGAACAGAAAAGAAAAAAAGAACGTCTGTTAGAGTAGACATTGGTCGAGATGGAGGGGTAGCCCAAATCCGACCACTGACCACGAAATCAACAACATCATCACCTCCAACTGCCTCCACTAGAAAAGCTACATGCGATCAGTTAAAACACTGACTATAGAACCTCGAACCACTACCATTACCACCCAAATACCACCTTCGTATACCACCACCCTCTAAAAAAATGGGTATAGCCCCCCACATGTCGACCTTCTTCTGCGGATATGGTACCCACACGTCGAAAAATAGAGAGGCGGCTAGGGTTTAGTGTATAGATGGTGGTAGGCAGATGGCAACGACAGATCTGTAATGGTGGTCGGAGTTGAACAAATCATAGGTGGTATGGTGATCCAATGTTGCAATTGCAGGTGCACAGGTAACGATGGAGCAGAGTTGTAGGAGGTTTTGAAGGGGAGAATAAAACGAATGAGTGTAACACCCCGCTTATTAAATGAATAAATAGATAAAGTTGAGGAATGGATAGTAGCCCTAAAATCAATAATTTTATAATAAGAGTTGGTCTTGAGGAGTTAATTGTTACAATATTAGAAGTCGGCGCTAAACGTGTACGTTTTAGATTGGTTCTGTAAATAATCATAAGGGAAGGGACTACTTGGTATTCTATTGGGACTTAATTTGAAGAGATTTTGGAGGCTTAGGGCCTAAATGGTAACATATAAAGTTGAATTGTAAATATTTTAGATGATATGGGTTAAAAAGGTAAAATATTGATCAAATTCGAATTAAATTAGAGTTGGAGGGACCAGAGTTGTAATTTGGCGAAAGATTTAAAATGGTCGGGGATATAACCCGCCACCCTCACCATGTCAAACCCTAAACATAAGGTTCCAGCCGCCAAGAGTGAAGTAGCCACCATCTCCATCTCCTCGTTCTTTTCCGATCCGACCAAGTCACTATCTACTTCCGGCGACGCTGTGAGCGACAAGAACTACCGAGACCAGTCGAATAAATCCGTATCGGTTGGAGATCGGCGAGCTGATGTCGTGATTTTCGCCATCTCCGGCGCCACCATAGCTGTTGGAGTCGAAGATACCCGCCACGCCTCCTGTGGTTGTTGAGGATGAAGTCGGACGTGGGAGATCAGCCGCCATCATCGGAGTCGCCCAGCTATCATCTAGTCACGAGCAACCCAGACGCCAACGGAAGCTGTGACCACCGCCTTGAGTGCGTTGCTGCTGATGCCCTTCGACGACGGCTAGGCCACCACCTCCCTTATTCTTGTTGCATCGTCACAGTTTCGCTGCTGCCGGAGATTTTGTGATCTGTAAGGACTGACCACCGCCACCACCATGTGCTGCCAGGTGGGTGGCTAGGGTTGTTTTGTAATCAGTTAGGGCGTATGTGAGTTATTTCAGTGATGTATGATTGGGTTGTTGGCCGGATAGATCAAGAAAGCCACCGCCACCATCTCCCACCACCGGCCACCACAAGGTGGCTGTGTGTGTGTTTATGCTGTTTAGTGTGTGTGTTTATTTTGGATAAAAACTTTGTAATTGTAATTAGCATGAATAATAAAAATAATTGTAACCACCACCATCAACCACCACTACCCGAGGTGGTAGTGGGTGGTGCCCTGCTAGCAAACCCTAATGGGCTTAGAGATTGGTTTTGGGCCTATTGGGCCATGTTTGGGTGGAAAACTCTAATTATGAAAATTAGAGTATTTGGGTCTTGGACTTATTTGGACCTACTTTTGGGCCATAAGGATTGGATTGTCAATCAAGCCCAAACTATTTCATACAATTTATCCAGTAGAATAAAGGACTTAATGTAGGGATGTCAACGGGGGCAAACGGGACGGGGAGTGCATCCCCCACCCCGCCCCCGAAATTTCCTTGTTCCCCTGTCCCCGCCCCGCCCCCGAATCCCCGTTATTACTCCCACCCCCGCCCCTGATTGATTTTGGGCTGTCTTTTTTTGGCTACAAGAGGTTCTTATTTACGTTAAAAGAAGCTATTTTTTAGGTAACAAATAATTATGTATAGTTGAATTTTACATGTTAAAAATAAAAAGTTATGGCATCTTAAAAATATTATACTAACAATTTAAAAACATGTTTTTTGATGAATTTTGAAAGCTTAAAATCATGTTATAGTTTATTATATTTATATATTTAATATATGTAAATACATGTGTAATTTATTAACGGGGTCCCCATGGGGGTTTCGGGACGGGATTACCTATCCTCGCCCCCACCCCCGAAATTAAAACGGGGGTTAACCTTGCCCTCGCCCCCGTCCCCGCCCCCGATTTTTTTTAAAAATTCCTCCCAAACGGGATGGGGCCCCCACGGAAACGGGGTCCCACGGGACTTTTTTACATCCCTAACTTAATGAACCAAGTCTTTAATTGGCTAATTGAGAAAATACTAATATTTGAGAAATTATCATGACACACACACACACACACGAGAATTATTTAATAAGTGAAATATTAAATAATAATTATTGGCAGAAATTAATCTAAGCAATAATGAACTTAATGGATTAAGTTCTTAGTGGGTTAAGCCCTTATGGGTTAAGTGAGAAACACTTAACCCTAATTATTATTTTATGTGAAACCCTAATGTCAAATGGGCCTTGAGTTGGGCTTTTCAATTGGGTAATTGGTAATTGGTTTACTAATGGGCCATCCAAGAATAATCAAATGGGCTAGAGTAATTAGTTGGGCTTGGTAAGGCCTATATGAAGGATTGAGCCCAATTTGGAAATTTGGGCCTAGAGGGTTGTATGATATTGGGCCCTTAAAATGGGACATGTTGGACTGGACTGGACAATTGGACCTTAAGTGAAGCCCATGTAGAGGTTTGGGCTTAATTTGGAAAATTGGGCCATATGTTGGGTTTTGATCCTTAGTTAACTTTGGGCCTATGGATTGGACCTGGGGCTTGGGTAAGCCAAGCTTAGGGTAATGTAGTAATTATCTAAAGTATGTAATTATAGTTATGTAGTGGAACCCAATTATTAATTGGATGTTATTTTGATGTTGACAGATCGGGAATCTGTCATCTAGCAGCTGGGGTCGAGTCTGCGGGACTTCAGCAGTGTGGGATTGATTCTGCGGTACTTCAACAGTGTGAGGTGAGTTTTCTTCAGGTAGGAACGGGTCTAAGGCCACAATGCCGACCCGTTTAATTAGTAGTAGTTTCCGAACCTTGGTCTGATGCAGTAGTTAGAATGTTTGATGCCTTCGAGGCTCAGACAGGGTTTGTGTTATGTGTTTCGGGCTACGACCCGATGCAGTATGCAGTTTATGTGTTCATGCCAGTTGAAATGTTTATGCTATGTTATGTTATGCCCAGTTAGTTTTCGGACTTCGGTCTGATGTAGTTAGTTCCGGACTTCGGTCCGATGCAGGGGATAAGGTCCCAGTCAGTTCCGGACTTCGGTCCGATGTAGTTTCCGGACTTCGGTCCGATGCAGTGGGCAAGGCTCAGTATGTGTTATATGTTATTATATGGTACGTGGTAGTTTGGGGGATCTCACTAACCTTCGTGCTTACAATTTCAGTTTTGGTTTCAAGTACTCAGTTTTCAAAAGAGGAGCTCGGGAAGATTGCAGTGCACACACCATTTGTTCAGCCTGGGATGTTTATACTCTGATATACTTGACAGTCGTTATAATATTTTGAGATACATTGCTTATGATTTTTATATGAGGTTTATAAACTATGGCTTTTATTATTAAATTGAACGAAATTTTCAGACTGTATTTTTGGGATAATGAGGTTGCAAGTTTTGACATCAACGGGCCCTTTTATGATGATATGTGATTGTGGTATACTAGTGGCAAGAGGAGAAGAGAAAAGGCAGACAAAGATGGAGCAGCCGTGGATAGAGTTGAATATATTGGAGGTGGTTCGATGACTTACACCTGAGTCTCATTAACAAAAAGAAAAGCAAGGGAAGGAAAATATGGAGAGAAAAGAAAGGTAGAGGGAGGAAGTGATTAAATTTTTCGTGTTCTCGAGTTCGAATGGAATGAAATGAAGTTATTTATTTATTTATTTATTTAAATGTGTTATCGAGTTGGAAGGAAAAGAAAAGAAAGGAAAGTTAAACAACAACGCTACAATTTTACCCTTATTTTTTTAGCAATCATATTACATATATAGTTTAAACTGGGGAAAAAATATTGATATGCATGTCATCTTCATATTTTGTGTCTTCACATTCGTTTAAACACATACAAACATATTTAGTCAAATACAACCAACATATATTATTCAATTAAATTATCAATGGGTAGCAAAACATAAATAATATTAAAATGAAAACATATGTGGCTATCTTTTAATGGCTTTTGTCTAATTGAAAAGAAACCAAACATTAAAAAATGTCCAAAACAATATAGTTTAATCAGATTACGATTCCAAAAACTATAATTCAAATCGTGAAGCCCAAAATAAGTCAAACATAGAAACAATAAATAAACACATATTCTCCCAATTCATCGTTTACCTGTTCCCATCATTGTTTTTAGTAGATCCTTCTGTATGTTCATTGGACAAGTAAACGATGACCTCACATCTGCTTGGTTACGAGCCAAATACATGAGAGCACCTGGTATTTCATGGGGTTCCAAACCCATTGGCTGCAATTCTTGATAAATTTCATCACCTGCTAACTTATGATGGTATGCTCTTTCAAAGATTTTGTTACCTTCCCTCATAGCATTAGCCACATCACCAACAACATTCATAATCTTTGTTTCAAATGTTTCAGGTTCAAGTTGATGCTGAGTTTCAACTTCCTTTACTACTTCATCTACGAGTTTTTTTTTTTTTTTTTAGTTTTGCACTTTTTCGCACTTGAATTTTGTTTAGGTGTAGGAGATATCGCTTGAATGTCATCTTCATCATCATCATCTATATGTTGGTTCTCCAATGTAACATCATTACTTGCCAAAAAATCATCAACCTCTAAAATACTTTCTATTTTGATGTTCATAGTCTTGCTAAACCTTGCATTTCTCTACTTTGTTGTTTCAGCATTTTCTCCGGAAGCTCTATCTCTTGCAAATAATACCAACATTTGCTCGAAGTTGGCTACCTTTTTTGTTTCTTCAGTATAACAGATTCAGTCTTTGACTGTTTAAAAACCCCAATACATTAAAATTCTTAATAATAACATAATATAAAACAAAACTAAATACAACGTAAGACGAACACTAACCTTAATTAAGTGATCCCAAACCTGATCATCTGCTTCAATCAGTTGGGTTTCAGCATTCCAATCGAATCCATTTAAAGAAATCCCATGAAACATGTCGTACCATTGTGAAAAACCAGATTTCAAACTCTTCAAACGATTTTTTAGATTACTTTTAGTTAAATTAATGTTAAGTTTTTTTATTGAGCTCCTCAACCGTATTCGCATTTAAATTCATGTTAAGTTTTTTATTGAGCTCCTCAACTATATTCGTAGACGCTTGTGTAGTAAAATTTCCAATAAGCCTATATCCTTTTTCTTCTTGTTGTACCATTGCATCACCAAATGCAACATCCATCTCTTCTATCCAGTTCACGAGTGATTTCCTACCGACATTTACAAAAGGATCTTGCTTGTTCATTTATCGGTTTCTACATAACATAAAAAGAAGCATACATTATTATAAAAAAAAACATAGTTATAACGTGTACAAGTTATAAAAAAATAACGTTAAAAAAACTAAATAACAGAAATAAATTCACAAAACAGTGTTCAATAAAAAACCAAATTGCAAACGAGATACTATAACGAAATACTCTTAAACTATGTTGACATATTTATTTCATTGTTTGGACTCAATAAGTAATTAGTCCACATTTGATTTGCAATTGAGTTCTTCAGTTGTTCTGCTATGTTGTTACCCTCACGCACACCACTTGAATTATGTATCACATCATCTGTTGGTGCACTTAAAACCTCTTGTAATACCTCATCTTCAAGATCTTTGTCACGATCTTCGACTATCAAAAAGTTATGTAAAATACAACATGCCAAAAAAAAATGTCTGATTGTGTTTCACAAAAGGTTCTGTGTACTTCTAATGATATGAAACCTTCTTTTTAGAACACCAAATTCCCTTTCTATAGCATTACGTAATGAAGCGTGACGAAAATTGAACAACTCTCTAGCATTTTGTGGGGCTCGAACGAAATATTCTTTTAAATGATACCTAACACCTCTATATGGCACCATTAATGTAGTTAAGTGAGGCAAACCCACATCTACTAAATAATAGCGACCTATAACTAAAGTGTAATTAGTTTTTTAATAATAATTTAAACACAAAATGAAAAATTGGTAATAGAAATTACCATTTGAAAATACTAGTTTGTCATCTCTATTAAGCATATTCTTCAGTATCCTTAAGTCTGATGCAATACCCTCCTAACCGGTTAAAACATACGTAAACTTTAAATCAAATGAACAAACAACTAAGACATTTATCGTTGGGTATCCCTTGTGGCCACGCGTGTCTCTATTAGGTACTTTGACACGAACATGTGTACCATCAATTGCCCCTACATAGTTTTTGAAGTAAGGAAATAATATATTTTTCTCTTGAATTTATTTGATGACAACATCACTTTTTGGTTGTTGAATATAAAGACTCTATGGAAGCACCTACTCACTGTGGATTTAGAACATTGATACATCCAAGAGACAAATGTATATCTCAAATCATTACTTACAATGTGCAAAAATCTTACAACTTGCTCTACAACAGACATGCATTGAGTAGGTCGAAGACCACCATCACGTCGTAAGATAACGCATAACTTCTTAAGAGCTTGCTCACTCATACGGATAAGCTCACAACATTGACCACCATTTGAAAGGTTATGTAACAACTCTTCTCATGCACATTGACGTTTTAAAAGAGTTTCTTTAGTAGGTAAATTAGGACCATTGTTGATGGTAAGTCTACGTTGTGCCAGAATAACCATCAACAAGCAAATTAGATGAACAACTTGTGTTTGTCTTGATTTTAGAATATGAGCGGGTGAAGGAAGCTTATTATCTATTAAATTCAATGTGACTTGTTTTATGTACAAAATGTGAAGGGCTATAAAGAGGACATCCTAACAGCAGCAAAAAACGGCTACACACCAAAAATAGGAGCAAGGGCAAAATAGTCCAACGGGAACAACAAAGAAGAACAAATAGCATCAGCAAGAAGGATTGAAAACAGAAAACAACAACACATTTTGGCTTATTATTGCTGATTGGTATGGATTGCTAGTGTTAAAAAAATGAAAATAGGAATGAAACTAATCATTGGAACAAGCATAAAACTCTTTTAATCATTGGACTTCATGACCATGACATGGAACTATATAGAAGTGTAAATTAAAACATGTAACATATCTTCAATTTCTATAGAGTGCATTAATCGGTGCACTGTTTCTTTACATCTTTTCCCTAATTATTTTATGCCATTATTAGCATTTTATCCGCTAGTTGCTTTGGGTGATACAGTATTGATTTTAGTATGAGATACTAATTATCGTCTTGTTTCTTTTTGATATCTATCATTCAAGATTCATAATTATATGTGACTTTTATGTTTCAAAATCCCTTGGTAGCTTTCATAAACTTAAAACATGGTTATTTTTAAATTCCTTATGTATCAGTCACCTGCAGAAAAAGAAAACAGAAAAACTAATGAACGACTTGATTCTAGATAATATAACCCTTTCATTTTAATTGATATTTTCCAAGTTTAACATCAAACTGTTTTCTATTTATTTGGTTTTCATTATAATATGTATTTGATTATTATATATTTTCATCTTTCTGCAACTCGCGTGTTGTTATACACATGCTTCCAAATTTATTTCACAATCAAGTTATCTTTGTAGACTAGGTTTGTGGTCAACGGCCGGTAGAAAGATGAATTTTGGTCTTTAAAATCTTATAAGTTTATAGCTAACATTCATCTTTACGTTGATGTATATTCTAAAATCATATTTACGTTGATGTATGTTTAAAATCATATTTATAGCTAACATTCGTCTTCTAATGTCTAGGTTAAACCCTATCGCCCAGAGTCATGGGTGCCAAGGAGACATGTCGTAGCCAAGGTACTTAGACTATGTTTGACGTACTAGCTGAAAAGCTAGCTTGATAGCTGAAAAACTAACTGTTAAATAAAAAGTTAATTAATAGCTGAAAAGCTAGCTGATAAAAAATAACGTTTGATAAAACTAGGTGAATAGCTAGCTGAAATATATAAAATTACATAAAAGGACATGTAAGAGTATGCATATCTACAATTAATTAAGAGGTGTATTTGGAACATTTTAAAAAAAGCTCATAAACAGCTAGTCTAAGTAGCTTTTCAAAAAGTTAGCTTATAAGCTACTTTTTAGCTTACCAAACACGATAACATAAACTAACTTAGTAGCTAGTTATGGCGCGCCAAACACAACTTTAATAGATCACGTTCGAGAGGATCAATCTCCCACGTACTAGAATGAAAAAGGACAGGGGTAATTTGGGACAATTTTCTGAATAATATTTTCAACCAAATACATCGAATTTAAATAACATCTACCCCTAACGCTTAGAGCTAAAATTGCCAAAAATAAAAGGAAACACGGGAAAGTGGAGATACTTTAGAATCGAACTCCTAACTTATTTCTCCTGTGTACGTTGACTTTGATTTCTTTTGGGTTGGGCTCTTATTCTTCATAACGGATGGGTTCGTTTGTGGGTTTCTTTGGGTTGGGCCCTTATCCGGTAGCATTAATTATGGTGTTACTACCATTTCGATGCCTGAGGCATCTAAGAATAGTTTCTAACTTCTTGAAAGTTTTCTCTAGCTACCATTCGAATTAATAGTAAGCCCATGTCAAACACTAGTCTATATTATGTGGGAAATAAACATATAAAGGTTGTTTGACATGGGTTTGGTCGGATTAAAGCCTTTTTAGAGATAACACCATTTGAAGTTGAGGTCTTTCAAATGTAACGGAATACTTTCAATTAAAGTATCATTTGATGGTGATTCCAAGAAGTTGGAAACTCTTCTTAGATCGAAAATTGTATCACTTTGGCTTTTGTAAAGTAATCATTTTCTTGATTGTTTCGCATTTCAATGGTTCCTCATGAATTTATTTTTGTTTGTAATAAACCGTTTGATAGGTAAAGTTCAATTCTTTATGTTTATAAAGACTTGAACTTTCTGCATCACTATATAGGTCCAATGTTCAGGTGTTCTTACATGAAAACATTCATATAATCATTCATGCTTATTGTTTTATAATCGTGGCCTACAACTACAAGTTTTGATATTGTATTATAACATCATACTTTCATTTTTTCTATTACAATATTATATTCATTTTTTTTACTAAAACATTGTACTTTAAAAGAAGCAAAAATGAGATGCTATAATAAACAAATCAATGAAAGTAAGTGCGAGATTTTTGGGGATCTCAGGTATCCTACCAATATTTCTATGATCTACGATGTGCAAAACTAGCTAGGAGTTAAAGACATTAGAAGACCTAATTTGGTCTTATATTTCAAATTGATACTTTTCTGTTTGATTTTTATTTGGCTTGATGTATTCAATCTATACTTCTAAGCGTTTGAGGATGATCATCTCAAGTTGTTAGGTAACTCCTTGTTATGATATGACATTAGATTTTGTTTACATATTATGCTGTCCATTTTAGTGTGTAGGCTCAAAAATTTTAATAAACTTTTTAAATAACCTAAGGGATTATCGTTGCTAAATGATTTCATATTTTGTTCACATGATATTGCGAACCATTTAAGTTTGAGTCATCAAAATTTTAATGAACTAACTTGAAAAAAAACTGCAAATTTGGTTTTTATGGTTTGCAAATTCTTTAGGTACATGCCAATAATTTTTAGTAGTGCTCGTCTTTTTGGTCTGCTTTTTATCGTAGAATTAGTCCCCATCAAATTTGAAAATATCAAAAAGATTATTTTGTCCATTTGATTTTTATTTTATTATATTTTATTGTTTTGTTTAGTTTAAAAACAAGAAATGGACCCACACATAGTACCCCATGTATGATTGTAATCATTTCCTCCAATCTCACCTATTAGAAACAAGGAATGTCGAACCAAAGGGGAGAAGGAAGGTGTTTTCTCTGTCATGATCGCATCAAGACGAATCTATGGGCAAATGCAAGTTAGAAATCAAGACCATATTTGTATGGATCATCATGGAACAAACTGAATGCATCATATCATATCATAAAATATTTCAAATAAAAAAAACAATTAAAAAAACAGAGAAAAGAATTCAAATGGGTAAAACAATATTTTCAAATTTGAGAGAAACCCTTTTCAAATTTGAGAGAAACCAAATTCACAGTAAAAAGTAGGCTAAAAGGATTATATCCTTAATTTTAAAAAATTTGGACTATATCCAAAAAAAATAAAAAACCCCACCACCAAATTTGCAATTTTTCTTGAACTAATTAACTTTGACCTAGAGAATTCCTATTGTTGTGAAATTATTTCATGTGTGGTGCGTGCACACCATTGTTCCCTTTTGATAAATAATTTCTTGATAATTACATTTGCCTTCAAAGATTTGATATA